TGCCCTTCACCCAGATAATGTGCATTTTACCCATTAGGTGTGAATTTACCTATTCCTTCCTCCCCCCTCCCACCTATTTGATTTCCGTTGAGTTTTACTAACACATGTGCAGATAAGTGTTGACCAATTAGTTTCAATTTAGTATTGAGTACATGTGGTGTTTGTCTTCCCATTCTTGCAATACTTCACTTAGAAGAATGATCTCCAGGTCCATCCACTCGAATGTTTATAGCAGCACAATTCATAGTTGCAAAAATGTGGAAACAGCCCAAATGCCCAACAATACATGAGTGGATTAATAAAATGTGGTATATGTATACCATGGAGTACTATTCAGCCATAAAAAATAGTGATCTAGTATCTTTTGTAACAACTTGAATTAATTTTTCTTTGATGATTCAACAGGCACTTCAGTATATGAGTACATAATAATACTATAATACTGAAGATGAAGATGAATATAAAATTATAAAATAATATGATGCAGTGATTTTCAATGTCAGGAAGCATATCAGAATAATAGTGGAGATGCAAAGTTGTTATGCTTATGAAACATGAGCATGAATTTTTAAAAAAGATTAAAAACCAGTGACTGAAGCTTCAGGTCCAGAAAACATGGATTTTAACTCTGATTCTACCACTTACTTTATGATGTTGGGAAACTGTATATGCATCCTTTATGAACCTGAGTTTCCTCATTTGTAAAATTTGACATAGTACGTATCTCATTGAGGTGCTATGAGGAGTAAATAAACTAATGTCTATAAATTACCTAGTACAAAGTAGGTGAGCAATAAGCATTGCTATTATTATTACATCATCATAACTATCATTGTCATCATCAACTTTATCATCATCTACCCCACTAAATTTGCAGGTGAAAAAAAAACCCTGAGGTCCAGAAAGGTAAGATGATTCACTTATAATGACACAGCTAATTTATGACAAAATTGAGACTGGAACTCATGATTTCTAGGTTACACTTCTTTCAGGATATTAAGCTGAATTTGTACTGACCTCAAAATATTTTGGAATTTGTTGTTCTTAAACTAAGTCCCTGATATCTGCTTGTTTATTTGTCATGGCTTTTTAAATGATAAGTATGCAGAACAGATTAAGAAAAGATACCTGGTTATTTTAGTTTTTGGGATTTCAGGTATACTCGAATTGGCTTTTT